TAACCTCTTACTCTTTACTCTGAAATGTTCACAAAGAGAGAAAAAGTATCCTTGAATTACAGCAGATTATTCTGAGTCAGTCTGTACCTATTTGAGGTGATCTGTTGGAATTATATACTGAGTGTAAATTCTGTAATTATCAAATTGTCACTGAAAAATAGCTGCCAACAGGAGTGGTAGCCAAAGGCAAATTTCAGCCAAAGATGAATTCTTTTTTGGCTGGGTTGGCTATCATGATCCAGTGTGACATAGAATTATTGATAGATCTAAGGGTTAACTGATGCTACAGTGCACAGAGGATGAAGAGTATTTCTTTGCTGATGATTTTTCAGTGACACTGGTTCTAAAATAAATAATGTTTGTTCTCATCATACATTTCCATCAAAAATGGAAAGCAAATTTAAATGGCTAATTTTGGATTCTGACTTAATGACTAAATTTATAATTTGTATATGCAAGACATGCTCAAACAAGCATGAGCTTCTTTCTGATTATTATTCTGTTCTCCTTGCATTGCCAGTGTTCAGTGCCACTGGTAGTGTCTGAAACAGATCAACTGCACAGTCACTGCAAATGGTTGTCTGCACTTCCCCTTTGAAAGTTCTTTAACTGTGACTTTACTTATGAGTATGTGCTGTTTCTTTAAAGGTCATATACATTAGATACCTGTATTATTTACATCAGTGAAATGTCCTGATAGTAGACAGGCAGCATCTTTTTTCCAGGTACAGTTTCACAGAATGCTCCTTGCTTAGCAGCAACTAAGGTAATTTGCTTTAAGAACTGTATAAAGATGTATAATCCTCTGCATCTACCTTTCTTCTTTTGCAGGAAGGCTTTCTCACCATGGCCATAACACAGTTTCGACTCTTTAAAATCTGCACTTGCCTGGCAGCAGTGCTTTCTTTCGTTAAAAAGTTAATATGCAGGTAAACATCTTATTTAATTTGATTAGCTTTTCTTTTTCAATTCCAGGTTCTTGCACTTCTTTCCTTCTAGCACCCACTCACCCCAGTTTTGATTTTACTAGTTGCAAAACAGTCAAGAGAGATGAAAACTAAGTCAAATTCATTCTTTATTTTGCATATTCCTTCAGCGTTCCAAAAGTCTGTGTAGTGCAGTTGTGTGTTTTGTTGTGTGGTAGCTGTAATGACATTTTCTAAACAGCTATGACAAGGCTTCAGAATTGCCATTCCATGTCCAACTTGAAGAAAAGCTCTTCTCCACATTTTGTAAAAATACTTGGCAAGTGTTACTTTGTTGTTCAAGAGATTCAGTTGAAGGCAGCATCCACCCTGTCATCAGTCAGTAGGGTTGCATTATCAATGTAAGCAATTCTCATCCTGCTTTGTGAAAAAGTAGTTGCCTGAGACTTCAGGTTCTTCTGCCTATTGAAGATTGTTTCGAAAGTTTGGAGGACAGTGATTGAAGTTCAAGTGAGCTGATTTTTTGATGAATAATGACTTATTTTTTGCTTACTCTACGAAGTCATACATAGTGTTCTTTTGAGTTACAGACCTGTGAATGCAGCAGTGTAGTACTTAGAAGCATTCTAAAAACCCTCAAGTAAAAATCTAGCCCCACAATATTGTAGTAGTAGAGTTCAGTGGTACAGTAGCAGAGTACCTGAGGCAGAACTCAGCACTGTGCTGTTACATGAAACACTGTGCTTTTGTCACTCTTGCAGAATGTTGTTTGCCATAAACAAATACCAGTCTAGAGAAATGTATTCTCCTTTTGTGTATGATGACACCTAATTTGCCAGTGAGGTTAGAGCATATGCAGAATGTGTGGTAGACACAGAGTAACTGTTTATTTCCTGTTCACCTTTACTCATTCCAAGAATAAGAGGAAGCTCTCAACTGCTTGGTAAATTCACTGAAAGTCTAGTGAAGTTTTAAAAAGATACATTTTAATACTGCATACAACTATGTAAATGTCAACCTTAGTTCTGTGATGTAATTCCAAATTAAGACTACTTGCTGTTCAAGTTCTGGGAGAAGTCAAAATACTGAGTTCATAACCTCTATATTACGTGGACCCTTCATTTCTCTAAGTGTTAAGATAGCTTTTATAAGCAGATAACTGTTTTGTGTGTGTATTGACAGTATTTTCATGCTTTTTTCAACTTCTGAATGAACAAAAATCTTGAACAGCTGAGAAACTGCTTGGGAGTGAAAAAAGTAGAAAACTTTTTCTTCTGTGAATAACAATTAGTTGAAGGAATGAAAATTTAAAATCTTTCATATAAGCAAGTTAGTGGATCAGATTAATTCAGTTCATTAACTACAGCTGTTCATCCTGTTTGCTGTCAGCTGCAGTGTAACTTGATAGATTTTGGTTTCCTGTACTGCACCCCTGCATATGAGTATGCCTGATAACCAGCAAATGTGATTTAATTAAATGTGCATTTTAATTCAATGGATATGAGCTAATTCTTACTTAAATTATATAGTTTATATTAGGTTTTCATTTGAACAAGTGCCTGTAGAGATTGTGCCTCTTTCTAGTCAGCATAAAGTCTACATATAGTACTAGTAATCTCTTTAGTTAAATTTTTTTTAGATAAACAATAGCCTGCCTGAATATACTGTTTCCAGGAAATAAAAGGTGTAAGTATGAAAAGAGATTCATTCTGTTTAAAATCTTTAGTTACCTTCTCCAGCTGAGAAATCTGGATGCTGCTTATTAGTAAGGAGAAGAATATACCAAGAATTCTTCAGGCATTTGGCATTCAGAGCTGTGGTCAATATCTAACAGTGGTTGTGAAGCAGCTGTTCCTATGAGCATCTTGTTCCCATTGCAGAAGCAGTGGAGATATGTGGCCTTCCTTTATGCTCCTCTGTGTAGCATATTCTTTCCCATGTTTATGACTATAGCTGTTTCTTCCTGCCTTCACCCTTATTAGTGCAATCATTTTGACTAGATTAATGTTTGTTACAAGCCACTTGCTGGAGTCTTCTAGATCATATAAATAGAAAATATATTTAGGTGCAGAAGCGATGGCTTAGAATGGTATTAAAGATATCTATGTTATACAGGTCTGAAGGAGGATGTTTCCAAGCTTGGGTTTCCTTCAGAGATGTCAACTCAATCTAGTCAACCAGAAGTCTCTAATGTGTTTGAGGAAACAGTGTTTTCACCTTCCTTTGCCTCTAAACTCTATTGCTTTTCATCTGAAAGGAACAGGTTGTAAAGGGGCTAGAATTAATTATATAAAACTTGAAAATTTGGTGATACCACCTGACCTTTTCCTAAGGAGGAATCTATTTGGCTAAAGTAGAAAAAATTCTGTCTAATCACTCACTCACCAACATGCAGCGGAGATGATATTACAAGCAACTCAGCTAGTCTTGAGTTGATGGTACTACTATGTTCTGTAATACTAAAAATAACGGATATGAGCCACAAATTGAAGTTTCCAAGTTTTTATTCTCAGTAGTAAGAAACAAAATTTAACTTTTCCAAGCTGCATAAGGTTGATTACATGACTGTTTTGCTATTGTACCTTACAGTCCTTGAGGAAAACATGAATGAGCCTGAATTTCATTCTCTTGTGTTGTAAGGTTTTAAAATGTAGTGAATATCAGCTGAGAATATTTTAATTATTATTATGATCTTTGAATGCTGTCATTAAGTAAATACCTAGGTGCTTTGTTTGCAGTGCATTAGTGTTTAGAATTAAAATTGTTTGATATAGTTGCTGAAGTGCACTTTTAATCAGTATTCTTTCAGTAGAAGCATGAATTGAACAAAAGCTGTTTACTACATCTGTTTAGACTTTGAAGGAAAAAGTGCTTTAGAGGGGCTTTCAAATCAAGAAGTTCAGAAAGCAATTTGTGAGACACAGCTTAACATCTAGGGCAAATAGGAGAATTTCTCGGTTTGCAGTAGAATTGGTTCCTTGACAGATGTAGCTCATTAGTATTTGCCTCATAAGCACTGACAGTGTAAATGTTGTAGCTGACTTATGCAAATAACTGAGTTAGTTTGTCCATTTTCCTTGCTTCTCCTCTGTTTCCACTGCAGTTGGAAAAGTAAATTGCACTTTGAAATTCATGTGGACATCACTTTAAATTCACGATGAAATGCCAGACTTTTCCTGGCAGTAGTGTTAATGCTTAGATATTTGAAGCACTTAATGTTTTAGCCATGACTGTTTTCAGCAGTGCTGTTCTCAGACTTCCTTTTTGTTTTTTTTAAACTTAGTGCTCATGTTTTCAGAGCTTGGAGGAATCCTACATTTTTCTTTCAGGTCTGGAAGAGGGCGAAAGTTAAGTGGAGACCAAATAACTTTACCAACCACAGTGGATTATTCATCTGTTCCTAAACAGGTAATTGTTAAAGTGGTAAGTGACTTAATCACTCCGTTAAAGGATTATCTATTATACCAGTCCTGCAGCAGGATATGTATATATCCAAGAAAGATATCATACTGTTATATATGCTATATAATATTAAGTGTGTATCTTAGCAAGATATAAAAAGACAAGCTTTGACTTGGAGCTAAGATTAACTTGTACTATATACTTCTATCCAGCCTGAAGTAGAAGACTGGTCTTCATGGGATGAAGATGCACCTACCAGTGTGAAGATTGAAGGTGGCAACGGTAATGTGGCTGCTCAGCAAAATCCTTTGGAACAAATGGAACCTGATTATTTCAAAGATATGACACCAACTATAAGAAAAACTCAAAAAGTAAGTATTGCATTCTCATCTCTACTTAAGGAGGGTTTTCCTTGCTTTAAAATTGGCTACTTGTAGAAGGTGCTGGTGGTAAAATTAAGCTGTCCTATTGAAATGAGAATAGATGCTGATGTGTAGTCTAACGTGTCCAATTAAAAATACTGACTCTTTGAGATCTTAATGAAGGTGAAGCTATTTCATGTTTATATTTTTACTATTAATGTTATTGGAAACTTAAGAATAATGTCATAGTCTGAAGGTTCTGAGAAGTAAAATGTGAGAACTGTCTAGTCACTTTAAATCTGAAAGTGGAAACACTGCACTAAGATGCTTGTGCTCATATTCTTCCCTTATTTGAACAGAGACATTTCATGTCCTGCCCTACTGAATTTTGAGGGAGCAGCACTGCTGTTTCAGAAAACAATGGTCACTTGTTTCACCAAGTTTTATTGGAGGGACTAGAATTAGGGACCTGGTATTTCAAAATACCTTGCTCTTCAAATACCCATTTTTATTATGGAGACAAGACAGAAGGGCATATCTGCAGGAGCATCAACATTGTAATATATACTGATTAAACTTCTTGCAACGGCAAGTTTTGTTTCCATGGTGAAATCTTTCAGCTGGATACTTACAGGTCTTTGAGTCAGTAGGAAAACCTTCTCACAACAAAGGCTGTCAAGTGCTGAAACAGGTTACTAGAGAGGTTGTGCAGGCTCCATCTCTGGAATTTTTCAAGCCCCAAGTGGATAAGCCCACAGTACTTTCATCAGCCTCAGAGCTGACAGTGCTGTGAGGGGAAGATTGGATTACAGACCTCCTGAGGCCCCTTCCAACCTGACTCTTACTGTGGTCTTCACTGGAGGTGATACTGGTGTCAGTTTTCTGTACATTCAGGATCTGCATTATTCTGTGGACTAAATTCTTCTAAGGATTTTGGTCTCCCAAAATATGAGGGGCAGAGGAGGACTGGGAAGAGGTAGATGTCTCCTTTATATCTACTGACATTTTTTGCCTGTATCTACTGCAGGCACAGTGAAGAACATTCCTGTTAACTTGGCCTAGTCACCACCCTTAAATATGAATTTGTGTTTGTATTTGCACCAAATGTTGGCTCAATATAAACCTCAAGATCTGAGGTATAATCTGCTCGTGTTGCCGCTCGTATCAACAATGTCTGGAAACGAAACTTCAGTCAAATTGCAGAGTCTGTCATTGATAAATAAGGTTGTCTAGTCCTGTTTCCTTTCTTGCATTGGAACTAGCATTTATACAGTCAGTGAAACTGCAAATCTACCTCCTTGGGAAGCAGCAGAGACTTAAAGTAGGCTAAACAAAGTAAGTTCGTGACTTGTGGTCAACACAAGCGAGGAATACGTGATCATAGCAAACATGTTAAATTTGCTGCTACATCTTTTAAGAGAAGCATTAGTGCATGTCTTTCAGCCAAACCAGTACAGAGCTTCATTAGTTGGTGTGATAGAGAATTACTTTGCAGCTATTGAAACTTCAGTTGTCTGCCCAGATGTGCTGTCGAAGTAGCTTAGAGAGCTCACATTACAGTGCAGCGCAGCTGTGCAGACACACTGTGCTCAGGAGTAGTATCTTACAGTGACCTGTCACAGAAACAGAGTTTCTCCAAGGAATATGTAATTGGTAGCTTTTATGAGTACTGGGAGATGTGGCTATTTGATCTCTAATTCTTTGTGCCCTTTCTCTGTCTTGGTGCAGTCATAGGTTGCCATGTGACTAAAGAAAAAGCTTGCAGGGGGAGGGAGGGTTCTTGTCTTTTGCGTCTTTCACTTCTCAGTTCGTTTGGTTGTGCAGCTTCCAGAACCTGACCAGGCTGAGACACAGTGTGGTGTTGTGTACCTTCACAGGCACAGGGTTACATGATGACCAAGGAATCTGTGCAGTGCTTTGAGTTAACACTTTTCATTCCTTTTTTTGATATTTTCAGATAGTTATTAAAAAACGAGAGCCGTTAAATTTTGGGATTCCAGAGGGAAACACAGGATTCTCTAGCAGATTAGCAGCTACACAAGATATTCCTTTTATTCACCAGTCTGTAAGTATGCTCTAAGTATTGATCTTGTACTTGACACTTAAATGACTGTTCTGCGGGAGAAGGAATATTCTGCCTAAGGTTTGCATTGTGGGGAGCAGGAGGAATAGTTGTGGATAATGTAAATTGTTTTAAAATTTAACATTGGGTTCAAAGCAATGAAATAGTCTAGTTTTAACTAATTTATTCTACTGAGAAACTTGACAGATCAGTGATAAAAAGGTAAGAAGCTTCTATACACTCGCAAATCTGCCAAAGCAATGAACTATTCAGTTTTTTGGATTCTACACAGTAAGTTGCTAACAAAAAAGTAGAAGGTTTTTTTGAAAGCTTCTGAGTTATCTTTGCTCTATTATCTTGGACCCATTTTTAACCTTCTCCTTTCCTTTCTGTGAGGACTGTAATCAGTCTCCTAATTTTTGCTCTTAGCCTTTGAAAAAATAGTCTCCCTCTCTTGCCCTTTGTCTTCTTTAGTAGTGCTTCTGCTTTAATTAACATAGTGCTTAAAAGGGTCTAGACAGGAAGCAGTACAGAATGGTTATACCACTTCCTTCACTATCCATAATGAAAATAGTTCAGGAAAGGACTAGTGAGTAAGAGCATCACTCAGCTGATGTTATACACACAAACATGTTGGTGTACATGTTGGTTTGTGCATGCAACTTCCAGAAGTTTTTTACACTATCTACTCAATCTGCTCAATTTATCTTCTTCTTCCTAAAAATGCACTCCAGTACTTCCTTTCTGCCTTTGTCCAAAAAACCCTTAGACAATTAACTGGAAGAACTCAGTATTAGAACAGGGGAAAAAAGCATAGACAATAAGCTGAGGAGCACTGCCTTATCTCAGATACTTCTGTAATTCTGAAGCAGTAAGGTTAAAAACAAATATTAAGGAAACTTTCCTCTCTGACCATCCAGGAGCCACTTTGGTAGTCACACACCAGTGTTTTACTGAATTTTCACATGTGCTTAGAGCTCCTCTTTTGTTTCAGCCTGAACTGGGAGACTTGGATACTTGGCAAGAAAATACTAATGCCTGGGAAGAAGAGGAAGATGCTGCCTGGCAGGCAGAAGAAGTTCTTAGGTAACTGAAATTAATGTGGACCTTGTAAAGTTTTTACATGCAAAATAATCAAATTTGTTTGTTTGTTGTAACACCTTTCTGATAAGTGCTGAGAACTGTTAAACACTTCTTGAGACTATTTTTGTGCATCTGATGTAACCAGTGCTCAGCAGAAGACATTTTGGATCTAACCAGTTTAGTAGGTGAGACAGTAGGGGATTCTTGGAATCCCTGTAGCAGTGGTTTTCTGGCTAACTTAACTAAACTAGTGGATAAGACTGAATGTAAAGTCAAAGTTTCACACAAAGTTAGCAGCAATACTTCATCTGTTCCATTTGTGGGTTTATTTTTTCCTTTTTAAGAATAAACAGGAGTATGGAGGGTAAGGAGATGCAGATTGAATTTAAGTTAATCACATGCAGTGATATGAATTGTTAGTGACTTACGTTAAACTTTTTTATTTCAAGGTTTTATCAAACTTTTATTGCTTGCTGCATCAGATAACCTGCCTCAAATGGCTTCAGCTTCCTGAACTGTTCTCATTCTACTCACAGAATCACAAGTATATGACTTCCAGTAGTGATAATATGAAATGACATGATATATTCAAAAATTGTTCTAGAACAATGAATCTTTAAAGGAAAAAAAGATAAAAAAGGTATTTTTTCAAAGCAAAGAAAAGGATTACTATCAACTAATTATTGTAATGTTTTGAAAAATTTTACTTTTTTCAATCTGTAGAATAAGACAAGAGAGAAGTTACCAGCACACTTCAAATGTGCTAATCATAGATAATAAATTCAGCTAATTCTGATTCTGTCAGTCTTGCTCTGCAGCAGCTTAGCATGTGAGAATAGGGTTGTAATGCAAATATTTTTATAAAACTTCCTTAGGTACCTCTGTGTGTACATTCTGGTCAATATCTTATTTTTTTTTTTAACTTCAGTACTGTTTTGTGTCTTGTCTTTCACTAATGTATCACAGAAGTATAAGCTTTGTGATATGAATGATGTGCCTTTGGGCTGGTTTTGTTCCAAGGATATTCTTTATGGGGAAAAAGTGTTATCAAAAGGCTCAGTGAGATCTTTAATCTCTAAAGCGCAGTCTACTGAGACTTAAATGAAAGACCCTGAATAATACTGCTTTTTTTGAACTGAGAAATGAAACAGCTACTTTTGCTAACTGCAGAGGCTGCATTGTACTGTACTTAACCCTTGCCACATTTCATTACAGATGTTTTTAGGACTATCAAAAGTAGTACTCAAACTTTCCAAGTCAACTTTGTCCTATACAAATTAGCTACTAAAAAGGGGCTTGTCCTATACAAATTAGCTACTAAAAATAGTGTGGTGTATGCACATGCCAGTTCATTTCTGGAGTGTAAAATTTGTGCAGTGGGTATTTCCAGGATGGTCAAAAGTATATTGTCTGCCAGGTGTCAGGGTCATGCTACAGAGTATTTAGGAGGAGAGAGCTCATACGTGGCAATAGCAGTGGCGTCTTACCCACAGCTCTCTTGTTCAAAATGTCATATTGTTTGGTTGAAGCCATTCCAAAGATTTTAGCCTGACCTTTTTATTATTGAAAGACTTTAGCTCAAGTGGTTAATTTTAATAGAATTCCTTCCTAGCCCCACTAAAAATTATCAGGCTTTACTTGTTTTAGAAAAAATGTATATGTGTTCAAGTATTTCCTGTAAATAGAATATGATCAGAACTGTAACTGTCTGTATGTCACACCATGTGACCAGGCATAGCTGCCACCTCAGTGCAACTAGGCATTGTGTAAGCTGTATCCCAGCTGTAGGAAGCTTTGTTCTTTGTTTTATTCATGACACACAAATGACAATGTTTTTCTGTAAATGAATGAAGTGCTGGCTGATTTTTAGCAAGACTGACAGGAGATACCTTCTGAGTTTACAGTTTCTCTTGCAGTAGTGATCTGTGGTGTATTTAACATCCAACATTTAACATAAAACTTAAGTATAGTACATAAAACTTAAGTATAGTACTTAAGCCTGGCTCTGTTCTCAACAGACTGTGGTAAGGAAGTGATAGGAGTCTCTCCTTAATGCTGGAAAACTGCATCTTGGTCTACAAAATGATCCCAAGCTCCTGTAGCCTCTCTGGTGACTCAGTGCATGAGCATAACAGTTGAAAGAAGCACATATAGTATTTTGGGCTGATAAATGGAGGGCAGAGTCCCCTGACATCCCAGAATGTTAATGGTGACTGTACTCCAGTGGTGCTTATTGAGAACCAAGGAAGTGCAGAAAAAGTAGCTGTCTCCCTTATCTAGCTGTGTCTGGGTACCTGTTGATTCTCAGTTAGTATTCAGAAGCATCTTAAGACAGGAATAATATTTGTGTAGTAATGGAGTGCTGATAAATCATGCAAAAATGGGCTGTGGCCTGCTAAATGGCAGAGAAGACAGTGTCCTGTGGCCTCTCTGGTGACTCAGTGCATAACAGTTGAAATAAGCATGTAGAGTAAGCCAAATGCTTCCTGGAATCAAAATATGCTGAAAGACAGTGCTGAGGAGTATGAATAGTAGTGCCAGAGAAATTTCTGTAGTCTGGGGGTTTTTTTCTCCCACTCTTTAGCAGGTTCAGGGTTGGGATACAATGAAATTTTCCACTCAGTGTTCAATCAGTGTAGTGAATGATAAACTGGATTTTCAGTTAATTGGTGTTAGTTGGAACTTCATTTCTTCTGCATATTTTAGATACTTATCTGCAACTTCAGACCTTCTATTACCAATGAAGTTCCTTTGTTTTTCCCAGTGGGAACAGTTAACCTCGTGCATTTTTAGTTTATAGTAGCTAGTTGTTTATATTTTGTGGTGACAGTTGCTCTGTGTGATGTGACACGAGGGTCTTGCTCACCGAATAGAGTGTCTCAGCCAGGAGAGGGCGCAGAACCACCTCTGTGCGCAGGAGCTCTGTGTCCTCCTGGGTCACTGCGAGGAGAAACAGGAGCTGCCATGATCCCTCTCTTCAGAACTGCAGATGTACAGCAGCATTGCTTAACACCTCATGTGGCTTTTTAAAAAACTATTGCCTCTACATACTGGCTGGAGTACATAGCACTTCTTCCCTCCTGCATCAGTTCAGAGGTGTGGGGAATATAAGAAAACCTGCTACTGTAAAGTGGCAAATATTACTGTTCTGCATATGCTAGACTGACATTACTGTCAACTGTGTAGCTTTCAGCTGGAATGGAGAATAATGAGTGATGATCTCAAAAAAAACCCCAAACTTTTGAGCTGCTGTTAATATGGGAGGTAGATCCTGATGTGAATGACTAATTTCATTCTTCCATAACAGGCAGCATAGAGTATAGGAAAACTTCTAGCCATTAATAAATCAATCAAGGGAAACAATGAAGATCTTAAATAAATGCAGTCTCTCTCCCATCCAATATGAAGATAGTATGTAGACTTTGTATCTCAAGTATTTTGAAGCTTTGTGTGCCCAGTTTGTCCATAGTTGGACTCTACCACAGAATGTTGCTTCAGGTGGTGACACTCTTTAATTCTGTATGTTTTACACACTTAAGTGGATGTGCACAGGTAATTGAAATATTGAAATATTGGAAGTTAAGACCTTACTGCCTTGTCAGAATTTTTCATTCTCTTTTAATAACTAGTTCTCTTTTCTTAGGAAATCTATGTTAAATTTTGCCTTTTCAAGTTAATGAAGCTTTGTTTTTATGTTTAAAGTCATCTTGGAAGCAATTTAGCAACTTTTTCATATCCAATAAACTGAATCCAAAGCAGGATTGACCTGCTTACACAACACAGGAGAGAGCTTCAATGTGTATGTATCCAGTTGGGTCCAGTTGTTGGTCCTGCACCACTCAATAATGTGTTCTACTGAAGCAGAAGTAAAATTAGTGGATTTTCATGTTGTTCTTTCTTTCTTTAGTCAACTATGTATTTGCTGAAATTGGAAGCCTATTTCTGTAGACAGAATCTTTGAGCTAAGAGATAGTGATGTCTGGAGCTTTATAGCAGTTGTAAGAAATAATAGAAAAAGGATACACAACTGGAGACTTCTTATTTCTATTTCCTTAAAGACTATTGTTTATATTTGTAGTGGTCAATAGAGTACAACACAGATCCTGAACTCCTGAACAGGAGTTTTAGAAGTTACAATCTCATTTGATCACAATGAAAATGTTTGTACTACTTGTGTTACAAAGAGTGTCACTACTGGTGCTACTGCTGAGAGAAGAGACAGGGGGACACACAAGTCAGTGTTCTAGACAAGATGAACTGGTTTGGTCTGAGTTTGAAAAGATGGGTATTCTTGCTACTGAAAGCATTAGATAGGTTTTTATTTTTTTCTCTAAGCCTTGTAACTGTCCTATACTCTCACTGATTCATTTACTCTGAATTTTCGAGAATTGAGTGGCTCTTAGAATGCAAAATAATAGAACAAACATTACTGCCTAAGACTAGATTGGATTAGATTGGGTATTAATAAAAGGTTCTTCCCCCAGAGGGTGGCTGGGCACTGGAACAGCTCCCCAGGGAAATGGTCACAGCCCCAAGCCTGATAGAGTTCAAGAAGAGTTTGGACAATGCACTTGGGCACATGGTGTGATTCTTGGGGTTTTGGGCAGGGCCACGAATTGGACTTTGATGATCCTTGTGGGTCCCTTCCAACTCAGAATATTCTATGATTCTAGATTAAACTGAAAAAAAGGATTTCAGCACAATAACTGTTCTGAGCCTAATGACAATAGACTGAAGCTCTGTTTTTATTAGTCATAACAATTGATTTATTGACAGGAACTTAAGGAATGACCATGCTGAAAATTGAATGCCTGTGGTTTAGCAATTCATGTTTTCTTTAATTACAGACAACAGAAGATAGCAGAAAGGGAAAAAAGAGCAGCAGAACAACAGCGAAAGAAAATGGAGAAAGAGGCACAAAGGCTAATGAAAAAGGAACAAAACAAAATTGGTGTAAAACTGTCCTAACAGAAACCAGGCATCAATGGCAGTGCCAGGGAAAAGAGAATTTCTGCTCTACATATTGGTATTGATGTAACTATTTACAGGACTTCAACACACTGCTTGGTTTCAATGCATTCTTCAGGTCATCTGGGAAGCCAGGATTTTCCCAAATATCTTGAACTACTAGTACATGGTTCTTAAAGGACAAAAACCCCACAGAAAAACATGCCTTGATGGAATGTTTCCTGCAATAGTTCTATTCCAGCACCCTTCTTTGCAGCAAAAGTGATTGACAAGGATGTTGATTGAAAAACACTCTTAATGAACAGCTCAAGCCTAGAGAAAAGAATGTAAATATTGACTGGTGGGAAATCTACTGTATTGCCTGTGCTTACCTGAAACATGTAATTAAACCGTTTTAAAGAACCCTTTGCTTCCTGCCTGATAAAGAATGTCTGCTTTGGCCTTTTTATTGAAGTATTTATAAACACTTCAGAGTTTTTCATGGGAGAGCATATTGACCTGTGCAGAAGAAAATAACTTGTTATGGATGACCTGCAACTCAAAATCTGCTCCTGAGAGGTTATGTGACATTAGAGCACAAGTTACAGCTGAACACTAAAAGTGGATTTCTTGTCACTTTGTCACTTGCAGCTTCCTGTGCTCCCATACCTGTTTACCTGTGACACTGCAGCAGTGGCATCAGTACACAAGAGTGGTGCATGCTGCTCCTTGTGAAGGCTGATGTTGGGAATGTAAGGGAGCATTTTAATCACATACTTGTATTGGTAAATTTGTATTTCTAGCAGAAATTCTTATACTTCCTACAGTTAGGAAAAAACAATCCTCACACCTTATACTTGTTGCGTAGGTAGTGTAATTGAGAAAAAAGATCCGTGTCCTCCTGTTAATAAAACCAGTGTGAAAATTCTCAGTTCAGTTACAAGCACTTTTCAAAGTCCATTCTTTTGTACATTTACTGTATGTATTTACACTGGAATTCCCCTGGTAAAGTGTGCATGGTAAGTAAGCAGCAGAAGGCAACAGTGCTTTAGTGAAGAAGTTTAATGCCTGCTGGCAGGAGAGCTGTAGGGGAGTGGGGGGGTTTGTATGTCCAGCTGAGTGCTTCAGTGAATGCCCTTCCACCTTGTGTTGTGTGGGTGCTGTTATCCATGCAGTCATGGGTCATATGGATTTCTTACCTTAGGACAGATGAGTGAAGTCAGCACATCTGTGCCTGAGACTTGTTTCCTGTGCATACAGGGAGCAGTGAAGTTGTAAGAGAATGGGAAGAGGTGAGGGGTCATGTGACTAGGTCTTGCCTGCCTAGAAAAACAGAATTTTAACTAAGTTGTAGTAAGTTCTGACACAAGTTTTGCTTAAAAGATAAGTAATTGAGAAAACAAGACAGTAAGAATTAGTTTTAATGGCCTTAGTCACGCCAAAAAGTTTTAAAAAATGTTTAGTATGCTTGTCATGTAGCATAAAATCTTGCACAAGTCATCTGATTTGACAGCAATTTTCGGATGCTAAATTTAAGAATATATTTAGAAGGCAACACTTCCATGCACATTTTCTGCAAAAATGTTCTGGCTGGAGTAGAATGGATTACTTCAAAGCAGACTAAACAGCAGTATGGCAAGCAAATCTGCTCTTACTACACACCTCTGAAGTATCTGACAGTAGATGGGAGATGAGGAGAAAGTTTATGAATAAGCTTCAATCCAATCATAGCACTGAAGAAGTAAGGGGGTACCAGACGTAATTCTTTCACTATTGCTGACACAGGACAAGGGAACTAACTAGCTACTGCTTGTTTAAGCTGAAACCTGTTGGAAGTTACATCTCATTTTTAAAAAAATTAGTGCTTACTACTGCTATTTTTGAGACAATGTAAAATACATGCAAATCAATACTATTTATTTTTTTTTAAACGATGGGCTAGTTAATAAAAAGTTGCAAAGAAAGCCCCTGAATACATCATGAAAGCACATGTGATTTTTGAGCCTTCAGCCATTTAAAAAATGCTTGGGTGCTGCCTCCTTCCTGCATATCAGCCCTCCTCATTGCTTTTCCTCCTCCTGTGCACTGCTTTGGTGTTCTTCCTTCCAGCTGCCTGCCCATACTTTAGGCACAGCTGCTCTAGAGATTCCTCCCTCCTCTGTCCTGTGCTGACATGATGCAGTAGGAGGACATGGTGCTCTCACAGGAATTCTCTTGCATGACAACAACCTGCACATTGTTATCTGTTTCATCTTTTTCCTGTGCTTTCTCTTTCCTCCTTCCTACATCTTGATTTTTATCCACAACAAACATGAAAACGCTTCTGCTAAACTTATTGTGAGGCTGCTGCTCTGTTATTATCTTTTCCATTGGTTTGAGTTCCCTGAGAGATCCTGTACACCCACTATGTTCACTTGTTTTCTTTCTCTCCTGCTGCCGTAGGTCTCCTTTTCTCTCTCATACTTGGCCTGTTAGCCATGTGCTTTTTTTTTTTTTTTCTCTACTGAAAGCAGGACTTGACTGTCTTCACTGTTATTACAGAGGATTGACCTACCAGGATGACTGAAAAATCATCCTTTCCTTGACTGTGACGTAGTTGTTCATTTTTGCTGTGTCCTGTGTTCATATGTCTGATGGGATTTTGAGCAAAATGCTCACTTGTTCTTCTCACATAGGACATACATAAAACTGCTTTCATTTTGATATGTTTCTAGAGGTTGGGATTTAGGACAAAGAGTTGATTTGCAGGGAAAGGGAGGAGAAATTTGTAATTAGATGTTAGGAAAAGCCTTGTGAGAATTTGGACATAAGCAAGGATGGCAAGAGGCAGAGGGCAGAAACTGATATACAGGAAGTTCCACCTGAATATGAGGAAGAGCTTCTTTACTGTGTGAGTGACTGCACACTGGAACACATTGCCCAGAGAGGCCATGGAGTTTCCCTCATTGGAGATGCTGAAGAACCAGCTGGACAAAATTCTGTGCCATGTGCTCTAGGATGACCCTGCTTGAACAGGGAGGTTGGACTAGATGACCTACTCTGGTCCTTTCCAGCCTTACCCATTCTGTGATTCTGTGAAGGTACAGATGAATCTCTGGTGGGGAGGGGATCAGTGCCTGAGCCTCAATGTTTTCAGCAGTTTAAGGGCATGTTGGGTACCTCTTAATGTCTACATTAAAGAAAGACTTTCTTGTTCCTGAGTTAGAAAAACGTGTAATGGGATTATCAACAGGCATTGCTTCAGTCTGAGAAGGATCTGACTTGGTTCCTATGCTGTAAGCCTGAATTCAAGCAACCATTTGCTATTTTACCCTTAGTCTCTGAGCTGTATGCCCTCCCTACCTGCATGTTTTGAGGCAAGACTCCCCAGTGTGGTACAGATGTGGGTATGAGCATTTTATAAATTCAGGAAAAAAAGATGGGAGTTTTTATTGAACTGTTCGGAGGATGACAGTCCTCACTCTGCAACACCAGTGGGATGCAGGTGAGACATGACCAAGACTAGAGTGTAATATTAGAGGGGAAAAATTTAAGTTGATATGTTTGTAGCAACAACTGCCATAACCTCTGTGGATTGTGGACCAAAGGTCAGTCCCCCCAAAGTCTGGGACTAGAGCATTTATGGTACTTCAGTCCTCTTACAAAGGGCACCTTGAGCCATCTACATCCTTGCAGTATGGAGGAAGAAAGGTGGAGGCTTGGAAGTGAGCTGAATTTTGGATAGAGATCAGAGCAAGGACTTTTATCAAAAATGTGATCGAAACTGTCATCTCTTGCTGAGTGTAGTTAAATGCCTTATGAGAGCTGAGCAAACTGAAACATTTGTAGTAAGAGCAGGAAGAAACTTCAACATTATTCTGTTCACTAACATAATGGTGTTAGTGTCTTATCTCTTAAACAGCACATTTGAAAATTCTGCTGCTAAATGGAGCTAGCCTAGAACATGGTCTGAAATGCTTTTGGCCTATTGACATTTTAAACATAAATGTTGGTTTGTGCTGCTTTCATGCTTCCTGCCACAAAAGAAACTCATGTAGTCACAGGTGAACACATCTAGAACTGGAGATGCCTTTTTCCTCTAAATTATGTTCCATTTCACCATCACTCGAAGTAAAGATGGCTTAAACAATAGTGGCTGTAAAAGAGAAATCCAACATTGTAATGAAGTTGGCAACATCAGTGTGGGAAGGTGACAGAGGGTAAAAAGATAATGGTATGGCAATTATCGGGTGAAATAGAGTTGCTACTCCCTGGATGGAATGCAGCCAGCAACCTGACATCCCCCACACAGCACAATCCAAGGGTGGAGTGGGGTAGAGACATTACAGCCAGGCTCTGTTTAAAGCCTCCTTGCAGAGGAGGGAATTTGGTGGTACTTTCTAGCTGATAAGCCACATAGCAGCTGAAAGACAAGGTAGATAAAGCAAGCTGTCCTGCTGTTGAATCAGCAACTGGCAAAATCGCTTTCCTTGGACTGTTGTGTGTCCACATCCCAAGGTTATCTCAGGAACTATACTGAGATACCCACCCCCAAGGTATGACCACCCCTCACTGAGTAGGATATATGACTAAAGTCACTCAAGTTCCACCTAAACATAGAGAAATAGTATAAAAGTAAGTTAAGAATGGGGAGAAGTGGAGCAAGACTCTTGAGCTAACTTTTGTTAGGGATTAGAGCTTGTTAGCATTTTGCTTTGAATTAGTATGTTGCTTTGAATACATTTTTTGCAGTCAGATACCATCACCAGCAATTCTCAAACCTTAACTTGGCACAGTTTTATTAATAGAAAGTGTTATTCTGTTAGCTGTTAATGCGAATCCTTCAAGGACAGTGGCAGTTGCTGGCAGTGGGTAAAGGTGTGGAGACCCAAGAATGGTTTGGTGTGTGACCCTGAAAAAGTGAGTTGAACCACCCTCCAATCTAGTGAACTTGGCTTTCCCGGGGTGCTGACAGATGAATCAAACACTAAAGATTTGAGTAGATCTCCCCTTTTCATGTGGAAATCTGATATAAAATGTTGCTCTCTTGGCCTTGAATAGACATATTTTAAAGTAGGTATTCCTTATTAGGCATTTTCTGTAACGTGTTTCAGTCCCAAGAGGAGATACCTAGGAATTGTGAAATCCCATGGTTATGTAAAACATAGATTAACTTCTCCAACTATTAATTTTGTCCCTCCTGTCCACATAATTTAAAAACTTTTGAAAGTGACCTTTGAGCAATATGCATTGCAGTGGTGTCACAAGGCAAGTTGGCTGGCTGCAGCCACCCAAAAAAAAATGGAAGAGGAAGGTATGGCAAAGCAAGCAAGATGCTCTCATGACCATCTCTGAACTCCTGGGGACTATGTTACATCAAATTATCTGTTAAGAGTTCTCTTCCTTAATGTAATGCTTAATGAAGCCTCTGGAGTCTCTGTTGC